TCTGCCTCCGGAGTGCTGGGATTAAAGGCGTGCACCACCAACGCCTGGCGTGCTTTCCCATTTTCAAAGAATCCTCTAACAAACAGTACACGATGGAGGTGAAACAGTCTCAACCAGTCTACTCTACATATGAAGAAACAGATTCACAAAACCCAAGGATAAGCCTGAGCCATTTCCATCAGGAGGATGCAGTCTCTCTCTTGTATCCTAGGACCTTGTCAACATAATAAATGTGACACCAACCATGGTATAAAGACAAACTTCAGTTATTACTCTCTCTTTATAATTTTGTTATTATTCTGCATGTATGTGTATATAGTGTGTGAAGTATATACGTGCCATGGCACACACATAGAAATCAGAGGACAACTTTCAGGAGTTGTTTCTTTCCTGTCACCTTGGGTTCCAGGGGTCAAATAGGTTGTCAGGCTTGCACAGAAAGTTCTTTTGCCCACAGAGCTGTCTCACCAGCCCCTGGATTTTTTAAATCATAAAAACATGTACTGTTTGGTATTTTGTTGTTGCTGTTTGCTGATTATTTTGAGACAAAGTCTTGCACCCTATACCAATGGTTCTCAACATTCCTAATGCCAAGACCCTTTAATAAAGTTCCTCATGCTATGGTGACCCCAATCATAAAATTATTTTCATTGCTTCTTCAAAACTATAATTTTGCTACTGTTATGAGTCGTAATGTAAATATTTTTGGAAATAAAGGTTTGACAAAGGGGTTATGACCCGTGGGTTGAGAACTGCTGCTCTATACAGTAACAAAACAGGTAGAGGAAAATTGAAAGGAAAGAAAATCTGATGTGCCAGGATCAGGCAAGGCCTGTGAGGCCAGTCTCCAGGATAACAACACACAGTTATATTGTGACAGGCCACGTGGTAAATAGCACCATTAACCAGAAAATCTTATCTGAAAGAAGTGTGAAGTCATTCACCCAGGCCTCAAGTTGCAGATGGGGTAAAGTCCCAGGTCCCACTCCAGATATTGTGAGGACAAACTACAGCCTCATCCAGACACACTGGCTACTGTCAGTTCCTCCACACCCCCCAATCTTCGGTATTCTCTGTGGAAGCCCTCAGTGCCTTCTGGTCTAGCATCCCTGTTTCTAGAGATGGTTGATTTGGCCATAATGAAAGCAGTCTAACAGACTATTTGCTTTCTACTGTAGTTGTTTGTGTGTTTGTTTAGACAGGGTCTCACCATGTAGACCAGCCTGGCCTAGAACTCACAGAGATCCATCTGCCTCTGCCTTTCAGGGGATGGGGATAAAAGGTGTGCCCTTTAATGTCCAGCTGCTTCTGTGGTTTTAAACCTGCCTTGTTACTTCAATGAACAAAGGCCTCTGGGGGGTCTGGTGACAGAAGTAATACACCTCTCTGTTCTCCCACAATCTGTGACTGGAACACCCTTCCCTCACAAAACTGACTGATGGGGAAGCAAAAAACATTCACTTTCAAGAACTACTAAGTCATCAAAATGATCCTTAAACATTAAAAATTACAGGAGCTGGAGAAATGGCTCTGCAGTTAAAAGCACATACTGCTCTTACAGAAGATGAGTTCAGTTCCCACCATCCACATGATATAGCTCTCAACAACCTGTAACTCCAGCTCCATGCAATCTGAACGCTACTCTGAACTTCACCAGCACTGACACTCACATGACACACAGAACCAATAATAGTCTTAGATGTTACAGGACATTTGAAACAGCTTCATAGTTGCTTATGGTCTAATACTTCCCATTGGCACATTCCAGTCATTCAAGGTGCAGTTTTTACATATGGACTATGTACATTCTAGGACACATCTGGAATGTTTAAAAAAGTTTTCTGTCATATATAATAGAAAGGGGGACCAGGAAAGCCAACCTTTGGACTGAGTGAAGAAATCCCAGATATACAAGAAAAGAAATTCCTTTTTCATTGCATTTTAACTGCTAAAGGATGCAGCTAAACAGCTGCATGGTTTTCTTTGATGTTAGCATTTTTAGGAAGAGAACTTTGTGCTAATTCCCTCTTGAAGAATTTATCATGGCTTTTTATCATTGGATTTTTTTCTTTTTTTAAGTTTGTATATATTTTAACTGTTTTAAAAATACAAAGTCTTGCTATGTAATCCAAGCTAACCTCAAAATTGTGATCCTCTTGCCTCAGCCTCCTGAGTGGCTGGGACTTTTAGCATACTGTATATTACCCTGCTTCTCCACTGGAATTTTTCTGGATCAAAGCTGTATGTTGTTTGATGTTGCTAATGCTGTACAGATTTGATTACCTGTGGTCTCTTGTCCCTTGCGATTTGCCTGGGAGATTTTTTTTTTTTTTTTTTTTGCCACTGTCTTTGCTTTCTAGGAAGAATAACACATGCTCCCTTGGAAATCTAAATTCCTATACAATCTTGTTAAATCAGTTGCCTATAATCACAATATATTTTACTACACATGGATAAATAATTATGTTTACCATTTCTTTAGTGAAAGATACAAGTAACTAATCATTTGTTTCACGTTACTATTTCTTTTTTTTTTCTTTAAGAATTGTGTTTATGCCTGGTGGTGGTGGTGGTGGTGGTGGAGGAGGAGGAGGAGGAGGAGCACTCCTTTAATCCCAGCACTCGAGAGGCAGAGGCAGGTGGATCTCTGTGGGTTCGAGGCCAGCCTGGTCTACAGAGCGAGTGCCAGGACAGCCAGGGCTACACAGAGAAAACCTGTCTCAAAAAAACAAAAAGTAAAAAATAAAAGAATTGTGTTT